TCCTCATCCTGGTGGAGCTGGTCCCTTCCTTTCAGTGGGATGAAGATGGGCCAGTACAAGCCTCAGCTCAGGCTGATCACAGCTGGACATCCCACAGCTGGACATCCCAGAGGAACAGGGACACGGTGCAGTTCCACAGCTGGGAATCCCACAGCTGGACATCCCAGAGGAACAGGGACACGGTGCAGTTCCACAGCTGGGAATCCCAGAGTGGCCAAGGAACGGGGGACACGGTGCCACCCCAAAGTTGGACTGGTGACAGGGAGAGCTTGGGAAGAGGAAGGGGTTGGTTTTTCCTCTCCACATCGTATAAAAGGGCTAATCCATATTCGTTTGCATTATACAAGCTCCAAAACACACCTCAGCCTCCGACCCACGCTCACCCAATCGCAGGAGCCATTTGGTGCCTCGTATATTACTGGGCAATAGAGATTTAAGGGATAATGGTCATGGCAGCAGAGTATACAAAGCAATAAACTGCTTTTGAGGTTGGTTAAATGCCAAGTGATGCTGAGGCCTCGATGCCATAAACATTATTTCTATTATATGACAAGATAAGAGGATACAATAAACCACAAAGAAGAAAAATCATTTTCTGGCCTCGTGAAAGTTCTGGGCTTGGCGTTTCCTGGACACTGCACGGGCAGCACCTCCGTGCACGGGGTTCAGGGGGAATAAACTGGTAAATTAAGGGTGGGTTTAAAAAGCAAACGATTGTCTGAGGAAATGGCCTGGATAACTGGGGCTCTGGAATTAGGACCGGAGCGATGACTTGTCTCACTTATAAAAGTGAAATGGTGTGGAGGGGGGAAGAAAGGGCTGGGGAAAGTCGTGCTCCCAGTTGAACACATTCAATATTATGGCCCCTCTGTTAGCTCTGGCAACAGAAGTGCACAAACAGTTCAATTAATCAAGATATTCCTCCACAAGGCTCTGTAAAGCCTCGAGCATCCAGTGCTCCCAAGGCCTCCAGGACTGGAGCAGAAGGCACGGTGCCAGAGGCACGTCCATCCCTGAGCTGCATTTCAGTGCCAGCTCACCTGCCCCAGGCAGCTGCTGGGCCCCCCAGAGGGTTTGATGCAGTTTTCCAAGGGAGGAGATGGAGCCAGACACGGAAAAACTTCCCTGCGGTTCCCGAGCTCCGGAGCCCCCCGAGCCCCTCCTTGTCCCAGACCTGTGTGCTGGGTGCTGTCAGGAGCTGGGTGAAGGTTTCATTCCCTTGCTCTAAAGAGGTGGAGCTGTCCCACTGCACAGACCTCGGGAACACACCTTGGGAACACCTTCCAACTCCGACGGCAACACCCAAGTTCTCCCGAGCCCTCGGCTGTGCTGGAGCCTCTCACCATCCGAGCCCTTGGAAGGGGATTAGGAGACTTTAACAGTGATTAGCAGCACACACCACCCCGGATTCATTTCCCTGAACAGATTCAGTGACTCCAGGCATCACTCTCCGCCTTCCACAGGCATTCCAGAGGCAGGGCCCTGCTCCAGCTCCTGGGGGGGGCACGTCCCTGCTGGGGAACAGCTCCACTCCCTCTGCCCGGAGAGCTGGGGAAGGGGAAAATGTGCCACCTGTCCTGCTTGGGAAGGAACCAGCCACACGACCTTGGGAGGAATGTGTTTTAACGGCAGCATCTGCGGCGCAGTCGGAGTCAGCTGTGCCACCACGGGCCCGCTGCTGGGAAGGGACTGCCGGGAGAATCCCAAAATAACCCCCACTGCAGCCCTGGCAACCCAAACATGTTTACAGCCCACTGCACCCCCCGGCACGGCGAGATCTGCTCGGCTATTTTTGGTGGCCATTCCCTCTTCCCCCTCCTTGCTGCCCTGAAGGGCTTTGCAGCCTTTTTTCCACGTGGAAACAGGGAAGGAAAAGGAGGAAAAAAGGGCATAAGGCATAAAAGCTGGGGCTGTACCAGCTACAGAGGGAATGAAGCAGCTGATGGTTCAAAGATTAACACAATTTCTTTTTTCCTTTACACCAAAGGGGGGAATCACCACTGGCTTCAGATCTGTTTGGCTCAGCTCTCCCCTCTCCTCTTCCTGTGCCCAATGGACTGGGCATGGGATCAAAGGTTCAGAACTGAAAGGAACCAAGCGTGGAAGGACCTGGCCAGGAGTCATCCCAAAAATGCTGACCTGGACAACACCGAGAGGCTCAACAGCCACTGACACCCTCCCATTCCAATGGCTTTTCCAAAGCAAAACGCACCCAAAGTTCTCGAGAGAACAGAAGAAGAGGCTGAATGAATCCTTGCTGGAAGTCTCCCTCCTCCCCAGAGCCTGGTTTGGGGTGGGAAATGCTTCCCAGTACCACGGTCCTGCTTGGGCCTGCCCAAGTGCCTGGGTGAGGAAAATGGGATTACCTTCCCAAAAGCTCAAAGCTCTGGATCCTACAGACTCCACTGGGAAGGTTGGGATGTTCTGCTGGTGGCTCACATGGACCTGAATGTCCCTTTTTGTCCCCTGTGTTTGAAGACAAATGTCTCCATCCGTGGAGGGGAGGGAAAGAACTGAGAGAGCTGCAGCCCCCTCTGACCCTTCCAAGGCTCCACATTAACCTGAGTCCACAGGGAGAAGCCATTCCTGACGGGATGATCCCCAGTGGCTTGTCCAGGGTCAGGGGTCAGTGCCAGAAAGCAGCACAAGCTGCTGGGGGACCAGTGTGGCCCCCGTCCCTGAGCCCTGCGGCAGCTTCAGCCCCCAGCTCCAAACCCACATTTATCCTCCAAACTCCCAACTCTGCTGCCCTGCCCAGCTCATCCCAATGATCCCACTTTATTCTGTTGGCCCAGGAAGCTCAGCTCAGCCAGAATGAGCTTTAGCTGATCTGTGATGGTGTGCACAGCTCCAGGATCCCACTGGGCTCCTCCAGCTCTCCTTAAACCCTGAGCTGGGCTCAGCTGGTTAGAGCCTGGTGCTAATAATGCCAAGGTCTTGGTTCCAATCTCTGGAGGGGCCATTCACTGAAGAGCTGGACTTGAAGATCCTTGTGGGTCCCTTCCAACTCAAAATATTCTGTGATTCTCTAAAAACCTTCAACGTGGGGCTGAGGTACAGGACTGAGGACAAAAAAATGCAGGTAAGACACCAGGACTTCGAGAGAAAGGCTCAGAGCACCCTGGGTTTAGTTAAGGGATGACCCATCAGCCAGCAAACACCTACCAACACCTGGAATTCCACAGGGAGGATCTTCTGCCCAACAAACAAACATCAACTCCATCCCCAGCCCGGATGCTGCAGCCGAACAGGTTCAGACTGGAAATAAGGCATCAGTTTTCCCTCCCAGCAAAAGCAATTAACTATTAGAGCAACTTAACCGAGGGCTGTGGCGAATTTTCCATCGCTGGAAATATTTTACATCAAGCTTGGATCATCACATTTAATACCTGCTCTGGTTTGAACAGGCATTGAAGGACGTTCTAGGAAACTGTGCACGAGGTCAGGCTGGATCACCATGAATCATCCCGGTATGAATTACCCGGATTCCAACATTTCCATATTAACATGAAGAATTGTCAGAATTACCCATAAGCAGCAGGCTGGAACAGCGAAAGGAGGAAGCAACCACCTTTATATGTCATTTGTGGGAGATTGTGGGAGATTAAATTTAAATACATTGTTGTTTGCCTTAATTGCTTGTTTGAATCCGATTTTAAGGCTGTATGATTGAAGTGCTCACACCATTAAGTGCTCAAACACAGCTAATACATTTTATAAATGACTTGCACAATTTCACAGGCAAAGAAGTTTCAGATAAAAAGCAGCCTACAAAAAAAAAAAAAAAAAAAAAAAGGCAAAAGGAGGAAGATCACCTGCAAGTGGGCAGAGAAGGTTCCGGATGGGGCTCGTGCCAGAAGGACCAGAAAGCTGGGAAGCCTTATCTGTGTGTTTTCAAAGAGCCCCAGTCCCCAGCAGTTACCAGATGAGGTTTTTGACCCATTTTTTGTGCTATAAAAACAAACAGCATCAGAGAACCCACACTCAGCCTCAGAGGAGGTGCCCTGGGGACGCAGAATTATCTCTAATTTCAATTGGGAGACCCACAGGAGGCATTAAGGTACTAAATGAATTGAAGAACTGGGGACACACACACACAGGGGGGTACCCTGAGATTGGTTATCGCTCCCAAAACCATCCCAGACATCCCAATTTGGCAACCCAACACCCAGTGGCTGCAGCCAGGAAAACCAGAGTGAGCACATCACTTAATATCTAATTCAAAGGCACAATTCCCCCCCCTTCTCCTTCCCCTACAAAAGGCATTTTGAGGTTCTAATGCTTCAGGAAAGACAGACACAAATCTCCCTGGGCTCTGCACGGGGCTGCACTTCCACAGCAGCCCCAGTTTCCAAGAGCTCCCACTAAATCAGCCCCAGCAGGAATTGCATGATCCTCCCGTTCCTCCCAATATCGGGGTGTGTGAGAGACCTCAAGCTCAGCACCAGTTTCCCTGCAAACCCAAGGAAAACAGGATGGGAAGGTGCCCACCCAGGCAGGTGATCAGAAGGGGATGTGCCTTGTTCAGATCCCTCGTCCCGGGAAAGGCAGCGACAGCTCCAGGGAGCAGAAACTCACAATGGGATGGCAAGAAAAGCCATCCCAAAATAGCCACAGCAGTTTGGGGCTCACCTAACACAGACCATCACCTGTCACATTCCCAGCTGCTCCACGGGACGGGCTCTAGAGCCACCTCACCCCGGGGAGGGGGGGAGCGGGTCTGTCCTCTGGGAGAGGAGGAGCAGCCTTAGCAGGAGCACTGAATTCCAGGGGGGAACTCAGCGAGATGCCCCGGGGGGCTCGTGGCAAACACCAGCAGCACAACCAGGAGCCCCCCTCTGAGCGCCCGGGCCGCTCGTAACGGGGATTTACACCCTGCAAATCCCGGGATCTGATTACCTCCCGGGATCGCGTAAAGCAGCGGCTTTAAGCGCTTTGGCTCCGCGATAAAACAGCCACTTTGATTCACGGCGCTCCCATAAAGCCGCCCGGATCCGTACCTGTCCGCAGCCCGGGGCACCGCACACGAACGGCCTGTCGTCGCCCATATTTCACACGGCCGAGCTGAGCTGGGGAAGAGGAGAGAAGGGGAAATTGTTAAATAAGCTCCAAAAAAACCCGCCAACACGGAGAGCAGAGGCTGCCCTTTGCCGCGCTGCCGTTAATCAGGGGAGGAGGGTCCCCGTGCCCCCGACACAACCCGCGGAGGGGAATTAATCCAAGCCGAGTTTTAAATAAAGCTTGGGAGGTGATTTTTTTCATGGAGGAAGGGAAGTGGGACAGGGTAGGCCTGGAAAGGTGCGGGAGCTTCCAACTCAAGGCCCAGAGGATCGAGGGACCTTCGGCAGCTCGGTGTCACCTCCTGCAAGATGGGGACAACGCTCAACCCTTGTGAAAGACCACCCAGTGCAGCAAAGACCCCTTAGCACCAGACCCTCCCTTAGTATTTACAGTATCATGGAATTGTGGAATATCTTGAGCTGGAAGGGACCCACATGGATCATCGAGTCCAGCTCCTGGCCCTGCCCAGGATAAACCCAAGAATCCCCTGCACATACAGAAAAGTGGAATCATGGAATATCCTGGGCTGGAAAGGACCCACAAGGATCATCAAGTCCAACTCCTGGCTCTGCATAGGACCAGCCCAAGAATCTCCCCCCCACACAGACACACAAGGAAAGACAGTGACAATCTCCAGGAAAACAAAGTGCAAGCAAGCAGCGATCAAATAAATCCAAGTCCTCTCTCTGTACCAGTTATATTTTCAATGGGAGAGAACTAAAATTTGTCATTTAATTAATTAAGGGATTATAGGAGTGGTGCTCCGTTTTACAAGGCAATAATCTGGCTCCCCAGTGGGTAAACTACAAGGCTGATGGCAGGGGTAGTTTATCACGGATTACAGCCAAGGATAACAAAACACTCAGCCCTATTATGCTACAAGTGAAGCTATTCTTATTAATAAAAAATAAGAGTAAATAAAGTAACCCCCCCCACCACCTCAAATTCAAGAAATAACGGTCCCCTCCACCCACTGATATTTTTATAGGAGGATTTTAAAAAGCTGTAATAAAGCAAATGCTCTCCCTTCGGGGGGTTGCTGTGGGAACACGCTTGGGCTGCTTGTGTTGCTTCCAGCATCTCCTGCTCCAAGTTGGGCGCTTGGCTCAGCTGGGGAGGGACCCAGAGCCCAGCCATGGGCTCTGGGGGGAAGGTTCTGCACTTCCAGCCCTGAGCACCCACACCAGGGTGGGGAGGGAGGGTTGGTATTTTTAGGAGCTCTGTGAGAAAGTGCTCCAAGAATGCGGCTCAGCAGCGGAGGGGGAGCATGTGCTGCAGAAACAGCCCCTTCTGCTCTCGGTGAAAAGGCACAGGAATCAATTATTGCTTAATATGAAAAAAAAAATAGGTTATTTTTCTATTGCTGGGACAGTCAGCAGCTACACGGGCTCGAGGGGGTGAATTCCCTCCCCTCGCCCGCAGCGACAACAACCGAAGTGTGATGAGAGAGGAGCTGCCAGCTCTTCTCCCAGAAAAACAGGAGAGAGGCATCCACAGCACCGGGCTGTGTCTGGATTTATTAAGCCAAACTCCAGGGTCTGTGCAAACAGGACTCAGAAAGGATAAATGTCCCTGTCAGAAATGGGACGGGCTGGCAGCCAAACCGCTGCCCGGCCCAGGACAGGGATAACAAAGGCAACCAAATGGCCCAGGAGCATCCACCCACCTCAGAGCAGCCCCCAGAAGTGACACAGGGCTGGCAGAGCTGGGGGTGGCCTGGCAGGGGATGGCAGCACCTTCAGCAGGAAGGGCAAATCCCGCCCAAGGCGAGCCTTGAGGTGACACCAAAACGAGCCTGACTGGGGACACGTTACGGACGGGACTCTTCATATCACCCTTCTGAACTTCTACCCAAGCTCCAAACTGGGAACTCCAGAATCCAAAGTGCTGCTAAGGAGACAGGGATCCCCCCTCCATCCGCAGCCACCTGATCCTCCTCCCAGAGGAATCTCCCTGGGCCCCGGAGCAGCTGCCTCTCACACATCTGCTGTGTCCCAACAGCGGACACATGAGCCCTGTCATGACCTGCTCCCAAGGCACGGAGACACCCAGGCTTCCTTGGGAAGTCTGAACAGGCAGAAGGAGCCTCTGGCAGGGAGGGATGAAGAAGTCAAACCCTCTCCTGTGACACCAAACCACGGCTCAGATCAGCTCCCTGACATTGCAAAGAGGAGAAGCACAGAGGGATTGAACACCTTGGTCACCTGCACTCGAGGTCCAGAGCCATCATATGTGAACCCCACAGCTATCACACATCCAAAGCTGTTGTACCTGAACCCCAAAAGCCATCACACCTGAACCCCAGATCTATCACCCCTGAACTCCAGACCTATTGCACCTGAGGTCTGGGGCCATCACACCTGAACCCCAAAGCTGTTGTACCTGAACCCCAAAGCTGTTGTACCTGAACCCCAAAGTTGTCATACCCAAACCCCAGATCTATCACACCTGAACCCCAAAGCTGTCATACCCAAACCCCAGCTCTATCACACCTGAACCCCCAGCCCCAGAATGGCCACATGTCCATCTGGATGCAAAGCTCGACCATGTGGAGCCCAAAACTCCTCATCCTCAGGGCCAGGGATGCTGGTGAGCTGCTCCACAAAGGCACAGTTTGTTCTCAATTAATCACAGCAGTCAGAGGTTCTCTGCCAGTCCAGCACCCCAGTTCAGAGCTGTGGCACTGGGACAGCAGCAAAGTCACCCAGCACCGAAGGGCAGCTGTGATGCCCCTCACTGCCAGAGCCAGGCTGGTGCTGGAAGTGTCTCAAGAGTCTTTAAATCACCCTCCTACGGTTAAGCTGGGCTGTGTGGGATGAGGCTGGGGATGTGTTTATTCCATCAACAAACAGATCTTGGTGTTAAACGTGAGCAGAGCTGTGCTGGAGGGAGATGCTGACTTCACAGGGCAGCCAAGCTGGGCTTTTTTAATTAACACAGGTCAGAGATCCGTCCTCGCCGCCAGCACCAAGAACTGCGGGGTCTCTCTGCCTCGGATCTGTGCTTCCGTAAAACCTCTCAGAGAAATTAAAGGACCAGGATCAGCTGCCAACCCCAGGGCTCTGACAGCACAGGAAAACCATCCCAGAGCCGATGGCACATCAGCTGCCCAGAGCAGGACAAAAAAACTGGGCCAACACACTGCAAAAGCCTCCGTTTCCTTGAGCTTGCAAAGTGTCAGCAGGATTTGCTCATTCCTTAAGGCAAGATTTAGCTGCTCGTTCACTGCAGAATATGACTGGTATGTACATACATGTGCTCAGATTTATGTCACATTTAGTCAGGATAAATTGCTTCAATAAATTCTGTCCTTAAGAAGAGGCAGAACGAGGAGCTGATTGGATACTGGGAGCACATTCCCATCCCTCTTCCGGCAGCCACGGGACAGTATTTCACTGTTTTGATGATTTTTAGCATGTTGGACACAGCGAGGGGAGGAAGAAATGCAGATTACTGAGCACTCCAGAGCTCAGTCAGACACACCTGAGAGGCAGCTGCTGGCTCAGGGGAGCTGGAGAAGCATTTTCACCCAAACCAGACCGTCAGCCCCTCAGATCCCCCAGGACACGGCCACCCCTCACATCCCCTTCCATCACCTCCATCCCAATCCCCTGCTGCACCCTGGATAAGGGCATCAAGTGGCAGGAGCATCAAACACTAACAAAAGGTGTTTGTTAGTGTAACACTGACCTTGGCCATGAACCACAAGCCCAGGGGTGAAGTTCTGGACAAGGTTACAAGCAACGCCCAAGTGTGTCCAGTGACAGGATGATGTCACCTCTAAAATTAAAATACATATTTTACCCACCTAAACAGGTTCTCAGGGTAAGAGCTGGAGAGGGAAGAGACTGCAGGTACCCAGTGAAAGCCAGAACCTTCCCTTTCCCTCTCAGCAATTCACTTGCTGCCCATCAGAGCCTCTATTCATCACGAACCACCCAACTGGGACCCTGGGCTGGGATGAGCTGGTTTTGTTCACCTCAATTACCACAATTCCCACTTATTTCGAAGTTTAATTCTTCCTGCAGACACTGAAGCCAGCCCAGATGCTGCCATCCCCATGGTACATCAGTCCATAAACCCAAGTGGTCCCAAAGCATGTTAACTAACCCATTAAGAGAAAACAGAGCCTGTTATCCTGGTCTAGACAGACACCGGGGGGGAATATTCCAAGTCCCTTAAAAGGAATTAGACGTATTACATGCATCAACAACAGCAATCAAAGACCAGCCTTCCTGAACAGCACGTCCCCCAGGACACGTGCTGGCACCTCATGGAACCCATTTGAAAAACTTCAATTTGGAAACAGCTTAGGAAGAGCCAGGAGAAGCGGGATGACGTTTCCAAAGCCCACTTATGGAGCCTTTCCTCCAAGATGCTCCACATCCTTTAATTGCACTGTCTGAGCTTTACAGAGGAGTGTGTGCCCGTGGCTCTGGGTGGCATCAGCCTGGTGACAAGGAAAGGGACACAGTCAGACTCACAATTGTCTTTAGCTCTGCCACCCACAGCTCTTCTCACAGCCCTCACCACAGCCACCCCACAGCCGGGCACTCGCACGTGTCAGGATGGGTTGTGTGTTGGTGAAGCTTCCCCGGACCTGTTCCAGCTGAATTCCTGACAAGTAGCTGAGGCTGGAAGCAGCCTCAAGCCAGGATTTGTAAATCTTGAATCATGTCTCTTCTGGTTTGCCAAAGTCACGAGTGACTGGCCCCTCAAAACAAACCCTTTTCCTTAAACCTCAGCATGAAGACGGAAGAAGCTCCCGGCTCGTTCATTCTGCTGAACGTTGGGGATAGAGCTGGGCTGAAAAATGCTCTAAAAATAAGGCTCTATTGTTGTCCTTGCATGTGACTTGTCATTGCAGGAATGTTCATGCCCAACACTTGCATCTGGGCTTTGCAGGACGAGCTGAAATGCTCCAGATCCCAACATGTGGGAGGAGACAAACACTGTTCTGTGTTGAGGCTGCCAGCACAGATCCCTCCCAGCACAGATTCCTCCCCAGCAGGGATCTCTCCCAATGTGGATCCCTCCCCAGAACGGATCCCTCCCAACACAGATCCCTCCCAGCACGGATCTCTTCCCAATACAGATCCCCCTCCATCACAGATCCCTCACTCCTATACCAGTACAAGCACATTTATGGCTTATGCCCATAAATCATGAGGATAAACTTTACATTAATATGACCACAAAATTAAAGCTGGGGGTTGCACCAGCTATGAAACAAAACCAGAAGAGCTGCAGAGCAACCTCCTAAAAATAGGCTTAAACAGAAGAGACACAAAAGCACGTTGCACGTTCAGCTGACAGAGTCTCTCTGCTAAGATTCCTCACCTGAGTGAGGAATGAGCTGCAAAATGAGTCAGAAGAAAGAAAACTGCTGGAGAGAGGGACATCAAGAGCAAGGTTGTCCCTAGGGAAAGGTGCAGTGAAGGGCTGTGAGCTTCCAGGAGGGGAGCAGGCACTGGCAGGGACCACCAAACCTCCCTGTGCAGGAGTTCCTGTAGTTCTTGTTCAGGTTCCAGCAAAGGCCTCAGGCTCCCATTGCTCCCTCACACCTGCAGCCTCCAAAAGGGCAAACCACTGCTGGAGCAAAAGGGACAATTTGGGCCATTTCAGCACTGATTTTGTAAGTGTGCCAAGAGTTCTGGTCCTGCTGGGAGCAGGGAGGGAGGAAAGGCAGACACACAGAATCACAGAACATTCCCAGTTGGAAGGGACCCACAGGGATCATTGAGCCCAACTCTTAAGTGAATGGGGATCAAATCCCACACAAGGTAAATAACTGCTGGTGCCTGTGCTGGGATTGGTGCTGACTCCACACCCAGCACCCCAAAAAGGGTCCAACAGGGGCTCCAGGTAGAGGGAGTTACCTGAGATGGGCAATGAGAGGAAAGCCAGGTTCAGTGCCTGTATCCCTGCAGGACACACACTGCACAGGGATTACAGCTGCTTTACTCTCCAAAACAAAAAGCTCCCTGCACAGTCACAAACCCCATCGCCCTCGGGCCTGCAGGAACAAGTCCAAGCAAAGGTGCAGCTGAAGGTGAGGTGTCTCTACCAACAGGCAGCACCACAAACCTGTTTGCAATCCTCCCGGGCTGTTAAATAGGGCAAAGAGTCCTCCAGAAGGGCAGAGGATCCAGGGAGGGCTGGGACTTAGTAGGAGAACTACAGCTGAACTACAGCTGTCAGGAGAACTGACAGTGGAAGCAAAGGCAGAACTGGAGAAGAAA